TATATATATATATATATATATATATATATATATATATATATATATATATATATATATATATATATATATATATATANAATATATATATATATATATATATATAGTAAGATATTAGAAAGTCGTATTTGAATGCGTGCGCCTTGGAGATTCCTAGTGCAGAACAAGAACGTTTATCTTGGCGTATACGTTGGGGTGCGCGTGTGCGTGGCGTGTGATGTCTTTTAGATGCATGCCATGCCACCCACAACACTCTATCACGTAAGCACACAAGTAAAAACGTAAGCACACAAGTATAACGCAAGCTCGCCCGCACAGCCCACAGTAGGTACACTCAATCCGTACAGTGGATAATGTATTTTTTGTCACCATCTCTGCCTGCGCTCACTACACCCTCCCGTTGTCTGTGTGCTGCCACGCGTGCTTCACCCTCTCTGTGCGCTTCGCCACAGTGTTTCGTTTGTCACCATCTCTGCCTGCGCTCATTACACCCTCCCGTTCTCTGTGTGCTTCCCCACAGTGTTTCAGAGTGGCAGAAACAGGCCAAGAACGAGTGCCCTTTCTGTCGGAAGGAGATGAGAGAGCTGCAATCGGTAAGTCTGTGGCCCATCCCCTAACAAGTGTGAGGGGTTTAAGCTAGTTCATGTTGTCATGAGGTTTAAACTAGTTCATGTTGTCAAGGGGTTTTAACTAGTTCATGTTGTCATAGGGTTTAAACATGTTGTCATGGGGTTTAAACTAGTTCATGTTGTCATGGGGTTTAAACTAGTTCATGTTGTCATGGGGTGTAAACTAGTTCATGTTGTCATGGGGTTTAAACTAGTTCATGTTGTCATGGGGTTTAAACTAGTTCATGTTGTCATGGGGTTTAAACTAGTTCATGTTGTCATGGGGTTTAAACTAGTTCATGTTTTCATGGGGTTTAAACTAGTTCATGTTTTCATAGGGTTTAAACTAGTTCATGTTTTCATAGGGTTTAAACTAGTTCATGTTTTCATAGGGTTTAAACTAGTTCATGTTGTCATGTGATCAGATGAGATGGCAAAGTGCGCTCTGGTTTATTCGTTCTTGTTTATCTGTCGCAGTCATGAGGTGAGCGGGTGGGGTGGGGATTTTTTTTCGCCCGTTGGGGGGGGGTTTCACTCAAGGCTTGTACTAGTCTGTACGCTTCGCACACGTTACAATATATCACTTGGCGTAGATGTTTGTATACCTCTGTGAGCTGTGTGCAGTCTCCTCGGCTCCACCAAGCACGCCTGATAGTGGGCTACGCGAGTCACTCACACAGCACACCACTGTATGGCACAGGTGGTAGTAGACCCCTACCGAAGAAACTCTTTAGCGCAGAAGGAAAACAACGGACTGTCCAAGAAGAAATCAATTGCACTTGCAATCAACACATCGTCACTCTTACCAGTGGCTATCGAAGAAGAGGTATGTTCTGCTGCGTTGTTTGTCGTATTATATATATATATAAATAACATATATATATATATATATATATGTATATGTATATATATATATTTATGTATGTATGTATGTATATATTTATATATATATATATGTGTGTGTGTGTGTATGTATGTATGTATGTATATATATGTATGTGTGTGTGTGTATATTTATGCGTGTATGTATGTATGTATATGTATGTGCATTCGCTGCGTGTTGGTAGTGTTCCTGTATATTCGAGACTGCTTTATATCCTGTGGCAGTTATGTCGTATATTCCAAGGTGCTATATGAGATGTGTTTTATCACAGCGGGGTAGTCCTCCTAAATCTCTTCTATTCTACGCCACTAAATGACATGGATGTATCGTCCATCTATGAAACCGGGTGTCCATGATGTTAGTGTATAAGCATCACTACTAACAACGGTAAACCCTAAAACCCTAAAGCACACCAATCACATGCCCACCCTCCCAACACACCGTGTGTCCGCCAACCCCGTCGCATGCACAACAGGTGTATTCTACGTCGAATGGCTTATGCACGCTAGTACATTATATACACCAACCGTATGTACGTTATATATAACAGTATAGCAATAGCACACATCAAGAGTATCTATCTGTGCACTAATACACATGTGTGCATAACCGTAGGCTCCTCCGCCGCGGCCCGCGAAGTCGCCGATAGCCAACCGATCTGGCAGATCATCATTGCAGCCTATAGACGCATCCACACTTCAAGCAAAGTATGTCCTTTCCAGAACAGACTGTGTATGTATGTACGAATGTATGTATGCACGTATGTATGTTTGTATGTATGTATGCACGTATGTATGTATGTATGTATGTATGGTCGTATGTATGCACGCCTATGTATCTATGTATCTATGTATCTATGTATCTATGTATGTATCTATGTATATATGTATGTACGTATGTATATATGTATATTTGTTTGTGTGTATGTATATATGTATGTATGTACGTATGTATATATGTATATTTGTTTGTGTGTATGTATATATGTATGTATGTATGAGTGCAAGTAGTGTACTTCTGAGAACCGACAAAGTATATGTGAGCGCAGGGAGTGTCTATTACCGGCCACACAACGTACGTGTGCACAGGTAATTAGTTTGTGAGAACGTGCGGTGTGTTTGGGAGGGTATCCCAACATAACGAGTGTTTCGGAACAACTGAGCATGCATAGGAACAAAGAAGACGATGAACGTCAAACATCAGTGATGCATATTATATAGTAGTGTAAGCTGGCATGTGCTATGCTTCAACCGGATTTCATATACCATAGTCACCACAACGACTGTTTTCAACTGATAAGTGGTATCGGTCCAAACCAGACTATGCCTTGGCAGCTTACTCGTAAGACAAACGCGTCATTGAAAGGACTTTTACTTCTACTTCTACTGCTACTTCTACTTTCTGCTCAAATTTTTACGTATATATATACGGATACGTATACATATACATGTTCATATACATATATATATACATATACACACATATATACTTACACATATACATACTTCTACTTCTACTTCTACTTATACTTATACTTATACTTATACTTATACTTCTAGTATGGTTATACTTCTACTTCTACTTAAACATTTTTATACATATCCGTGTTCTTAAACTTTAGTACTTATACATGCCTATACTTCTACTTTTACGTAGTAAACTTATATATATATATGTATATGTTTGTGCGTATACATCTATGAACATGTTAGCAAGCAGAAACCATACCTGGTTTTCCTACTGCAAGTGATTAACACATGTCGTATGCTATCTCTCTCAACCACCTGTGCACGTGTGTATTATAGGCACTCACTCACGTTCAACAATAGCGTGGAGTTCTCGGGGGCTTCCGCCGATCGGACGCACTCGCCCCCCACCACACCCTTACCAAGAATACCCGCTAGAGGCGACCCACACCCCACATTCGATAGAAGGGACATAGACAGTACACATAGTGCAGAAGCGACTCATATATCAGCCATACGAGAGCTGTCCTTACCTGTGGAGGGGACCGCACTGATAATGGCGGGTGTCTTACCTACACGCCCCTCTGATAGGCGGGCATCGCACAACCCCGATATATCGGGTTTACAGATTAGTGTTACGGATAGTGCAGAGCAAACACAGGTGGCTAGACAGCCGTCGTTGCCTGTGCCGCGGTATGAACAATTACCTGATAGCGGAGAATAAAGCTCAACTCACCCTTACGGTTCTCCTTGCACGTATCTAGAGCACCCTGTTGTTTTCAGTGAGCTTTTGCCACTTATGGCCATAGAATGGACTGCATGTATACTATCTTAGACGTGAGTGTGTTGTGTCGGACTTCGCTCGTCTGTTGTTGCTTGTCGTGCTGTGGCATCGTATTGGTGTGATCGGACTTATTGATGGGACAATTCCAAGTCTTATATATATATATATATATTTATAGTGATTGGAGGATAGTGACCATTTCACTGCGCTTACTTCTCATTAATTCGTATTCGCAGAGAATATTTGATTGACCACATTCTCTCACATTCTCTGGTTGTCCGGAAGGGAGGATCACTTGATATCTATCACATACGTACTGATTTATTCGTATTTGCGTGGACTCCTATATGCACATCAAGGCTCCTATCAGTCTGAAGTGCGTATACTACTATCAGGATAACAGGGACAGGCAGGGGCGCTCGTTTTTGGTGTAGCTTCTGAGATATTGGAACTCTGTTGCCTTATTAAGTACAGACTTTAGCAATACGAGAATTTAGGCTGACTAACACACGCTACACAACGTTGACGGGTTACCTGTGACTATGGAAATACATGCATAACATATACGCGATAGTATTGATATTATATTGACAAGTACAAGCGAGTTCACGCACACATACGCGCGCGTGTGTTGCCCTGGGCACCAATGGTGCATCTCTGGGTGTGCCCAACTTGGAGCCTCTGACAATTTTAAAAGTATACGCTTTCAACTACAGCCGGCTATACTATTCTGGTGTATAGAAGAACCCGCAGTCCCATCGCATGTGTGTCATGCCGGGCTCTGGGCAATTCTCCGATACATCCCACCCTACACTGTCTAGTTACTGTTGTTGATAGTACCATCACTCCCATGCACCTTTCGCTAGTCACCTGCAATCAGCATACCGTTGCTGTGCACGTTTACCTACATTCTTGTTCTACGTTTAACCTACATTCTTATTCTACGTTTACCCGAATTCTTTTTATATAATTGTCTACATTCTTGTTCCAAAATTACCTACATTCATATCTTAAGTTTACCTACATTCTTATTCTACGTTCACTATATTCTTATTCTACGTTTACCTGCATTCTTTCCAAGTTTACTTACATTTTCATTCTACGTTTACCTGTATTTTTATTCTACGTTTACCTTCATTCTTATTCTACGTTTACGTACAATCTTATTCCACATTTACCTACCAATATTTTTATACGTTTACCTACACTCTATTCTACATTCACAATCTTGTTCTACGTTCACCTACATTCTTGTCCTACGTTCACCTACATTCTTTCTAAGTTTACCTACATTTTTATTCTACGTTTGCGTATATTTTTTATCTTACGTTTACCTTCATTCTTATTCTATGTTTACCTACATTCTTATCCGATGTTTACCTACATTCTTATTCCACGTTTACCTGCATTATTTTTCAATGTTTACCTACATTCTTATTCTACGTTTTTATTCTACGTTTACCTACATTCTTTTTCTACGTTCACCTGCATTCTTATTCTACGATTACCTACATTCTTATTCTACGTTTACCTACATTCTTATTCTACGTTTTCCTACGTTTTTATTCTTCGTTTACCTACATTTTTTTCTACGTTTACCTACATTCTTGTTCTACATTTACATACATTCTTATTCTACGTTTACCTGCATTCTGTTTCTACATTCACCTACATTCTTATTG